CCAGAGCTAGCCCTATAGTATAAAAATAAAAGCGAGGGTTTTAGGCCTCACATACAAAAAAGACCCCAAATTTACAGATCAATAATATAATATAAGTTAAAAAATAAAATTTATTATAATGTTGCCTAAAAAATTAAGAGTAAATCAACAAAAAAAATTAAAATTTGGGCCCAAAAGTTCAGGCATCCTCACACAATTACATTTATTAAAGAACAAAAAAGATTAATAAAAAAAATACTGACAAAATCTATCTCTTTCTCCAATCAAAAGAAGTGTAATATGTATCTCTCTTTAGTAAAAAAAAAAAAAAATCAAGCCAAACATATTTTTTACTTCTCTTAAACTTGTTTTTTTTTTCATTTGAATGCAAAACACCAATTAAACCATTCATTCTCTTTAAAAAAAAATGTTTTGATAAAGTTTTTATTCGTAACAAATAAAATATAACAAAAATTTAGGTGAAAGTTGCATGGATAAATAAATAAAATTCAAAGATAGTAAAATAATTCAAAAGAAAGATAACAATGAATTTATTTATAATAAAGTCAATCATTTAATTCTATAGTTTTGATAAAAAACATATAAAACAAATAAAAAGAACATAAAAATATTAATGAAGAAATTAATTTTATTCCTATAAATATTTATGATCAAAAGTCATATTACTAATTAAAAAAATATATTAACAAAATTTAAATAAAAAAATTACAATTTCGAATCTCATCAAAAAATTAAATTATTATTGAAAAAATATAAAAGTATTACTGATTGTCACTATTTTAGGCCTCAAATGTTGTTAAACCACCCTTAATTCCATCATTGATTTATTTGAATTTCCTAAAAAATAAAAACGTTTCGACTGTTTCGGGATAAAATTTTAATCTCTTTGCACATTAACCGCTGAGGATCCTATGTTGTTAATTTTTTAACATTAAAGTTGTCGTTGATCAAAATGATAGATACAAAATGACATGGGAGAGAGAGAGAGAGAGAGAGAGAGAGAGAGAGAGAGGTTAATAACTTAATAGTTTATGTTAAATGTAAAGGTTTGTGCTGGTGGAGTGCTTGTGTGCCTGTAATATGTCCTACTGATTAATTATAGATAAAATATTTCCTTGCTTAACGATGTTTTTTTTGTTTTTTGTTTTCTTTTAAAAAAAGATGATTATTATTAAATAGGATGGTCGGTGTTTGGCTGTCTGCTTGCTAAAAACCAGAGGTTTTACTAAACAAGGGGTGTAGGATTTGAAACCGCGGGAAGGGGAAAACATTCCCCTCACCCGCCGTCAGAATGACTTGTCTCAAGGGCCAATGAAATTTGAGTATTTGTGGAAAAAGTTTAGGAAGAATTATTTAATTAAGGGAGCATCATTCACAGTCATAAAAAATTACCAAAAAACATTCGTTCTTTTTTTTTTTTTTTGGTTATTTTTCAACTCAACACTCCACCTAGTTTGTCGATTTGAATTTGCCCATAAAAAATTATCAATTGAATATGAATTGAATAAATTTTAACATGAGCCACGACGACTCATTGAGAGATCAATTCTAAAGCAATTGCGTGTTTCTCTAAGTCTGTGTGTGAAACCATGTTGCCCTAAGCCAGGGTCAATAATACAAGCGCACAAGCAAATCTCCATCTTGTTGCTTCCATTCCATGCTCCATCGCCTAAAGCAATGTGGACGTGAGCATAATAACCCCTATCCGGTGGAAGCCAATGTTAATATGGGCTATTGGGTTAAGAAAGAGAAGCATTGGAGCACCATTAAGTTCATTGTGTTTTAAATAGACATCAGTACCACTGAAAAAATTTAGTAACTCCAACAAAGAATCTCTTTTTTTGGACAACTTATTTTGCTCTCTTGTTTTCCAACTCTCTATAACAAGCTCCTTACTCAAGGAATAAAAATGAAAAAAAAAATAATTTTTCTCACACCCTAATTACACCTGTCATAATCTATTTCAGAAAAAAAAAAAGAGAGAGAAATATTTAGACCAATTATTGGTTCTAATTCCATTGTGGCCCAATTCATCTAACTCTGTTCCAAGTGTAACAATGTGGATTGGCCGAGCCCAAAAACATGGGCTAGGCTTTACAACAGCTTTTTTTCTGTTCGGCACAAAATCCTTTGCCAGTAAAGGGCCCAATCCTGTTATAAATTGGGGGGAGGGGGGTTTGAACCCAAAAGAATGTAGCCTGCTATTCTAGCAGTGGACCGGAAAATAACAAAGGTTTTTTAAGGTGCGAGGATATTTTTTAAAACTTATTTGAAAAGAAGTATATGAATAAGTTGTTTATTTTATTCAAATGATATTTGAATTTTATTACTTACTTACCTTTCTTTAAATTATACATAATTTTTGTGCTCTTCATATCTCTCTCTTTCCCTATCTCTCCATTACTCTCTCACTATCTCCCCCCCTCTTTCTCCCCTTACTCTCTCTATCTCTCATTGATAATTTATTTTCTTTTCAAATATGTAAAGATTTGATTTGATTTTTTTTATCTCTCACCTCTATTTTCTCTCTTTGTCTACCCCTTCTATTTTCTCTCACCGTTACTCTCTTTCCTTATTTTTTTCTCTCCCTCTTTATATAATGTTATAACAACACAATTATATGAATCAGTTACACTAATTAGTTACAATTACCCTATAATACAACAAACAGTTATTCATGTATTCTAATAAATCAATAGTGTAACTATTTGATTTATGTAAACAAGTGAATGATAAATTGGATTGGTGTTGTAATTTCGTGCAATTGTTTAGTGTAATAATTTAATTTATTAAAACACATGAATAACTGCTTAGTGTATTATAAAGTAACTAGTTATTGCATATGCCTGAAGACACAGAATAATAAAAAATACTAAACAATAAATATATTTACAAACATAGAGAAGAGATAAAGGTATTTAAGCATCGGTTTGTAATGGGGGTGAGCGATAATGATGGTGGTAAGAGACGGTGATGGTTGTGATGAGTGGCAATGATCATGGTAATGGTGGTAACGACGGCGATAATGATGGCAACGGCAGTCATGGTGGTGGTGGTGGTGACGACGGTGGTGGCGATAGTGGTGGGGGGTGGTGTTAACGACGACAATGGTGGTGGTGGTGGTGGTGGTGAGACGATTTCAAATACTACTTTTTTTTAAGTATTTATGATAAATAATTTTTAAAGTAGTAATTTAAAAAAATCAATACAAACACACCCTTAGGACCCTATTTTTCCTATTAAATTTAGGGTGTTAATATTATCCGTTAAATTTACTTTAATATAAAATTTAAAGTTATCTCAACTGCGAATAACAAAAATCATTTTGTTTATCTTTTAAAATTTGAATTATAAATTAGTTTATTATATAGATTGTAACTAATTGGTATAATTAGTGTTATTGTAACGTTGATATAAGGAGAGAGATAATAAAGAGAGAAAGATTAACAATGAAAGAAAATAGAGGGAAGAGAGAGTTACAAAGAGAAAAAAATAGTGGAGAGAGATGAAAAAATTAAATCAAATATTTACTTATTTGAAAAAAAATTAAATTATAGAGAAAGACATAGATAGAGAGAAAAATAAGGAAGAGAGAGTAATAGAATGAATAATAGAGTAATAAATGGCCTTTTAATTACTTTTTAAAAAAATAAACTTAGGGTCAAATAAGTTTCCTTAATATAGTTTAATTCAATTAAGTTCAAATTTTTTGTACTGACTTCCTCCCCAAAAAACAAAGATTCATCCAAACTCGCCCCTGTTTGAATCGGAGATGAAGTATACGTATTAAATGGTAGATGTATACGATAATATCCATATAAACCCTTGCGGGAGATGAAATTGAATCTTATCCCGATCCAATCTTACTATATATATATATATATATATATATATAATTTCTGTTCAATGAGTGCCTCTCTTGAATAGTCTGTGTGAAAATAGCTTTGAAGATTTTTAAATTTTAAGTCATGAACTTTTGTTAACTTATTTCTTTATTTTTGATTTTGATCATATCATATGATACATACTTGTATTTTAATTATTATAGTTTTTTTCCTAATTTTTTTTCTTAAAGTTACAAAAATTAATTATTATGTGGAGGGACGAAGGCGGATACAAGTGTGAGTATTAGAATTTACCCATGGGACCGGGATGAAAATCAAAACTTGCCCCATTAGAGGGGGTGCCCCCGCCCCCACCCCACCCACCTCACCTCGGTCCAATGCCATTCCATCATATAGCAAATACAAATATATTACTATCACCCGATTATTCAAAAATAAAAAATAAAATCAGCATCATAGATACAAGTTATGTTACTGATGATTATATGTAATCTTTGAACTCAGCTAATCATAAGATTCACCCAAGTCTTAAATCACTGGTGCCATTACTTTGCAAATTCTCATAACCTTTTGGAAATTTTTTTTTTTTTAAAAAAGATAAAAAAAAAAAAATTGCAGTCAAATCTGCATTAACTGTTATTGTTGTAATCGTTGACAAATTTTGCACATTTATTCTATTAATTAGTTTATTTTCTTGTACAATTTGCAAGAGAAAATTGCAATCTTCGATAATATTAATACCCGCAAGCTGATAACATATTTGTAAATAGTCAAAAAATTAAGGTATGTCCTTCGAAAATCGGTGAAAACGAAGGGCTATTCTGCAAAATAACTAGAATTACTTGGTTAGCACGCTTTGTTTAGTTGGTCGCACGACTCTATTTAAAGCACCCTTCCCTCACTTCCCAAGAAACCTAAGCGCCATGGCCGCTAACGCGAGCACGCACGGTTGAGAGATTTTCTCAGCATACCATTCTTGATCAGAACCGAATGGAAATCGTTCCAGAAAATCACTCTAGGGTTTCGAAGGTTTTGGTGCCGGCGCCTCTTTAAGGTTTCTTTCTCTCTCCAAGTCCACCCCTCCCTTCTCTTCGTCTATACTCTGGACAAAAATAACACACAATTTTCTCTCTGTGTGTGTATTTTTTGAGTTCAATGGCTTTTAAAGGGAACTTTTTCGCTATCTTGGATGATGAAGAAGGCGATGATGTGTCGAAGCTTCTCGCTCGCGTCGCCGCTAAGGTTGAGGCTACTTCGCGGCCGTCTACGGCTGAGAAGCAGCAGAACAAGAAGGAGCAGCAACAGCAGAAGTCTGTCACTGTCCCCCATTCTGAATATGGTATATAATGGATTTTGTTTTGTTCTTTCTATATCTTTACATGCAAATATTTATGCATACATGTATTTTTTTTTTTTTTTTCATCTAAGTATTGAATTAGATTAGTTTTATGTTCTTAGTGACTTCTTACTCTTTATATGGGTTAGAGTTTTGAGTTCGGGGATAATGGGAATAAATTATCGTCAATTTTTCCAAGATAACCGAGCAAAGATAAACAAGGCACAACCTTGAATGTTATTGAATGTTGTTTGCCAAGAGTACCGGGGAAAATAAAAAAGAACAATTTCTAGTTTTCTGGTATTGTTTGATGAATTATTTTACTGTACGCCAAAAAAATGTGGGAAGGGAGTAAAAGATACTTCTATATTAATTCCGATAAATTTAGAGGATACTATTTGTGAATATTCTTTTATTTGCTTGATTCTTTGATTGTATGCGAAGAGAAAAAAATCTATTTTTGGTTGTTTTTGATTATGTTTTGTTAGGACTTTCGAAGGGTATTGTGGTTTTATTTTCTCAAAAATGATTAATGTTAAGAGTCTAGACTCTGCTAAACAAAGTATTTAAAGGCTCTAGGATGGAAGAGTAGAGATGCATATGCCCATTCTTCTGCATCCTAAAGTACTAATAAAGTTGAGAGTCTTTTTGGTTTTGCCTTTGTACAGTTCCTTGGAAGATGTTTTGATTGTCACAGTTAGCGGTTGCATCTCCCCTTGTTCTGCTATTTTTGTGTGGGATTGATAACTTCTTGCTTATCTACTATTTCTCTCAATAATCACGTCAATCAGAGTTTGAATTCATTGTATTGAATTTTGTGTATTTTCCCCGAGTATCTTTACTCACTGTTTGGTGATACCTTTGTTTACTTCACTTGTTTCCAGTGAGAGCTTGTAGAGGGGGAGGAAGACAAAGAGGTGGTCAGGGCCATGAATCAGAAAGGTACCATCGGAATGACATGGAGCGGTTTGAGAATGGCCCGCCAAAAGGTTATCAACAGAATTACAGAGATATAAATGGTTATCAGCGGTATAATGGACAATCTAAAGGCTGTCTGTATGATAATGGAGGGGCTGATGGTTACTGGCAGGTTAAACAGGCAAGTGGTTATCAGCATAGTGGGCAAGTTAATGGTTCTGAGCAGAATCACTCTGGTGGTTATCAGCATAAAAATAGTGACAATTTTGCTGGCAGTACATTTGATGGTGATTGGCAAGTTCAGAGGCGTAGGCGTCGAAGAGATCGGTTCAATGAAGGGAATTGGCTTTGTGATAATCAGTGGGAATTACCTGAGAGTCCCAATGGAAGTTGGAATATCAATGGAGAGATGCAGTCTGGGAATGGAATGGAAATTGGTGATAATCAGGGGGATGAGATGCAGTCTGGGAATGGAAATTGGAATTCCAATGCAGGGAAAAGAGAGAATATTGGGGGTCATAGAGGATCCAGAACACGAGAAGGGCTCCTTTCCGGAGAACATGAAGAGAGGGATAATGGGAGGGGTGAAGGGATTGAAAGTTCAAAGTCGAAGGAGGTCCTTTGTAATACTGGAGAGCGTGAAGTCAATGAGGATAGCAATAGCAATGGGACTGAAGAGTAAGTTGTTCCATTGAAGACTGTTTATTGTTTGATACTGTGGTGGTTTACTTGTTGAATGCTTCTCTTTCTTTTTGGTCAATGGCTTCGATTTATGATGTATGTGGTGAACTGATAGTGGAGTTCCTCCTCTTTGCCCATCCTTATGTTTGGTAAAACTAATCAAGGTCATCAGAGTTCAAAATAGTTTGTAGGAATTTAGAGAATACCAAAAAATGCAAGGAAAAATCACCAGATCCATAATTAAAGGTGCAAGCTTGGTTATGCGGGCTCTTACCTGTATTAGCATGAAAATGTTAGTTTTAGAGCTTCAAGCCTTCAACAGCCATAGCGGTACCAAAGGCTTGTTTCTTTCAATTTTTTTCTCCATTTATCTTCTGTTTGTACAGGAGGAATGGTTGTAAAAATGGTATTTCTGTAGTTACTATTATTGGTGCAAATTGTTTCTTAGTTTTTTTTTCCTTTTGACAGAAACACATTGGTTCTATATATGTGCCTTGTCATTTTGTTTCAGTATGATATTCCATATCATTCTAGCAGCAAAAGGTGTCACCACTTTTTTCTATGTTTATTTATATATTGAGGCATAGAACTCGTGATGGTGGGAATTTTTTTTTTCCCCCTTTACTTTCATGGTGATGTCTTCTATTTTTGTGATCTAGGTAAGTCAATTGTTTTAATTACAGAGCATGTTCAGGACTAGATGCTCTGGATTATCTAGGTTTTGGTTCTCTCTTTTAAGAAGAAAAAGGAAAAGAATAACAGATGCTAATTTAAAAAAGAAACAATACTGTCTGCTACGAATTCATCATTATCTTGGTCAAATGTCTTATTATGTATGGATCACAAAGGGTAAAATATCCTGTTTTATTTATTGTGTGTTGCTTTCTTTAAGGCATGTGCACACTAATTAGCATACCATGATATTTTACTTGGTCATATTTACAGCTGAGTTTCTAGCATACTAGTGATTCACAAATTTGCATTTGCCTAATATCTTATTCTGTATTTTTGACACAGGATTATTTCTGTGACTTCTGAAGTCTCCAAAGATGCAGAGCGCAAAAAGGGTAAAACGGACAAACATGGCCAAGATGCTGCCCAAAATGACTCAGAAGATAAGGCTAAACAGAAAATTGAAGAGAGAAATGTAATGGTTTTTGGTCCATGGCAAATGTTTAGCGCATAATTTTTTTGATAACATATTTTCAAAGTAAAGTTTACTTGAAAACTGCCATTAACATGTTTCCTTGATGTCACTTGGACAGAAAATGACTCTTAAAGAGTATCAAAAGCAGCTTCTTGTGAAGAGGAAGACTTTGGAGGCTTTAAAGATGGGAGAGAGGAAAGTAACACTTGACAAGGATTTTGAATTGATGCAACTTGTTGGGAAAAAGAAAGAAGACGACATTTTTATTAAGCTGGTGAGTCTTTCCCCTCTTTTGGTATTCCTCCCTTTCTTCTTCCTTTCCATGTTCCACTGGCTTCATTGACCCATCATCTGTCATTGTTGAAGTGTTTATTTTGTTGTCTTTTTAGAATTCTGAGAAAGATAAGCGTAGGAAGAAAGAGAGCCTTGACAAGGATGGGAAAGGTCGCAAGGTAACGGTCCCATTGTAAGCAGAGGATATGAATTATGATTTCTCAGCATGCATTTTGACTTTAGCTCTGTGAGCTCTATGTTTGGTTTTGGTAATGTTACTGCGGTGACCAAGTTCAAAGCTTGTTTTAGATTTTATACATATTTAACTACACATGTTTTGTTGATGGATTTGTTCGTGCATTAACCTTGAACCTTGAGGACAATGCATCCTATTTCTACCAACATCGATGCCATACCAAAAATTAGGCTATTTAAAGGTGGAGTTACAAGCTTCTGAGGGTCTTAGTTATAATTCAATGGGATTTTAAGTTACACCGAATTAATTTTATGATCTGCACTCTGGGTGTATTAATACTCTACAAAATATTTGTGGAATATAGGTAATTTGATCAAACATTTTGATTTTGTTTTACCAGTCAATGAGCATTGATGAATTCCTGAAACCAGCAGAAGGCAAATATTATGGAAGGCGCCGTATACCATATCATTTAAGACGGGATGGACGTGAAAATGGCGAACAATATCTGAATCGTGGGGTATCAGTGGGGGACGAGGACGAAGGTAAGGATGTGCCTGTACCTCCTGATCAAAAAAAGGATGATGTACCGGCTCCTGGGGATTCACTGCAGTTCCCTGACTTGCGTGGATCTATAAAGGGATGATGTTGTCAAGTCCGGTTCTTTTTGTTTTCCTTTGGCGGTCTTTCTTCTTTATATTTCAACTTATCAAAGTTTTATTTGGTTAGGCTTCTATGAAAATAATTTATAACTACAACATATTTTTTTTTTTTTTTTTTTTTATCAATCAGCAGAAATTCTTGATAGATTCGTGTGCATCTTGATAAATATTTTCAGCTTTCACTGTGTGTTCTTTTGATGAGAATTAATTACAAGTGGTAGAAAAAACTTTTGAATTGTAATAGTCTTAGTAAGAGTCGTAACATCGTCCTTAACATTACCTTCAAACATAATAAATTCACACAAATTGTTGTAATATCATCCCAAATTGGCATTCAAATTCATCAAATTAATATATAATTAATAAAATTGACATTGAATTTATTCAAGTAAAATTTAAATCCATTAAATTAATATTCAATTGCATCAAATTAAAATTTCATTCATTCAATTAATATTCAAATTAATCCGAATAGCATTCAATTTCTCAACTCAACCTTAAAAATCATCCAATAAACATTCAATTTATCAAATTAAAAAAGTATCACACGATTTCATATAATTAACATTCAATTCATCAAATTGACATTAAATTAACATTCAAATTCATTTAAATAACATTCAATTCATCCAATTAATAACCAATTTTATTCAATTTATCAAATTAACAATAAATTAACATGTAATTAATCAAATAAACACAAAAGTAACATTCAAATTCAACAAATTAACATTTAAATTCAACTGATTAATTAAATTAACATCCAAATTAATATTCAATTTCATTAAATTAACATTCAATTCATCCAATTTATATTCAAATTCATCTAAGTAACAATCAACTCATCAAATAAATATCCAAAATAATCCAATAAATATTCAATACATCAAATTAACAATAAAGTAACATTTAATTTTATCCAATTAAAATTCAATTTATCAAATTGATATTCAATTAACATGTAAATTAATCCAACTAGCATTCAGTTAATCCAATTAATATTCAATTTCATCCAATTAACATTCAATTTATCAAACAAAAAATAAAATAACATTCAAATTCTTCAAATTAATTTTCAATTTCATTCAGTTAACATTCAATACATCATATTAACACAAAATTAACCTTCAATTCATCAAATTAACATTAAAATTCAAATTGTGGAAATTGAATTCATCAAATTAATATCAATATTAACATTCAATTCATGCAAATCAATATTCATTTTTATCAAAACTAACACCAAATTGATATTTAATTTCTCAAATTAATATTCAATTAAAATTTAGTTTATCAAATTAACGTTCAACTTCATTAAATAAGCATTCAATTTATCAAATTATATACATTTAACAATAAATTTTAATGTAATTAATATTTAAATTTAACTAATTAACATCAAATTAATATCAAAATTAGCATTCAATTTTACCAAATTAATATTCAATTCATTAAATTAACACAAATTAACATTCAATTTATCCAATTCTTATTCAAATTCATCCCATTAACATAAATATTAACATTCAATTTCATGCAAATCAATAATCAATTCACCAAACTAATACCAAAGTGACATTCAGATTCTCAAATTAATAGTCAATTTTAATTAACATTCAATTTATTAAATTAACAATATATTAACATTCGGATTCATTAAATTAACATTCAATTTATCAAATTAATAACTAATTTTAATCTAATTAATATTTAAATTCAACTAATGAAGATCGAATTCATATCCAAATTAATATTCAATTTCATCTAGTTAACATTCAATTTATCAAATTAATAATAAATTAATATTTAATTTCATCCAATGTATATTCAAATTCACTAAATTAACATCCAATGCATCAAATTAACATCGAAACTCATCCAATTAACATTCAATTCATCAAATAAATTTTAAAATAAGATACCATTTCACCCAATTAACATTCAAATCTTTAAGTTGACATTGCATTAATACCTAAATTCATCAAATTAGTATTAGGCTCATCAAATTCATATTCAATTTCATCAAATTAATATTTAATTTATATAATTAACAAAAAATTAACATTCACTTTCATCCAATTTACATTTAATTCATTAAATTAAAATAAATTTGACATTCATATTTATCCAACTAACATTCATTTTTACCTAGTTAGCATTTAATTCATTAAATTAACTACAAATTAATCAATTTAACATTCAATTCCCTCAAATTTACATTAAATTTTTTCTGTAGGAATTGCTTGGGAGTATCAAGGATAACATACTTTGCTAATTTGATAAAATTAATGTCAATTTGGTGTTAATTTGATGAAATAATTTTTAATAAATAAAATTAAATGTGAATTCAATGTTAATTTGCTAAAATTAATTTTTGAATTGATGCAATCGATTTAGTGTTGATGTAATGAATTGGATGTAACTTGGTTGAAATTAAAAGTTCAATTAATGAATTTCAATGTTACCTTGATAGAATTAACAATTAATTTACTATTAATTTAATGAAATGGATCTCAATTAGATGAAATTAAATGTTACATTCATGAACTTTAATTTTAATTTTAGAAAATTGTTGGTCAATTTTGTTTTAATTTAATAAAATTGGATCCTAATAAGTAAAATTGAAGATAAATATTATATTAATTTGATGAAATTGAATTTTAACATGATAAAATTGAATCTTAATTTGGTATTTCTTTGATGAGTTGAATCGCAATATGATGAAATTTAATGTTAATTTGATAAAATTAATGGAAATTTGGTGTTAATTTGATGAAATTGGATTATAATAAATAAAATTGCCACTAAATTTGATGTTTAATTCGATGGAATTGAATATTCAATTCATGAATTTTTATGTTAGTTTTATAACATATGTCAGTCTCAATGGTGTTAATTTTATAAAACTATAAATAAATGAAAAAAATTTAGTCACACCCCTTCTAATTTACCATATTTTTAAAGACACCTCATTTGTTTTTTGAATCTTTATTGACACCCCTGTAAGATTAAAGGTGTTAACTAGAATAAAATTTTACTAATTTTTTCATAATATATTTTACAAAAAACTTCATCCACACCTCTCTAGATAGACATATCTTCAATTAAACCCTTATGTTTTCAAAAAAAAAAATTTGTATTAAAATTCAGCTTGATTAAAATTAGATTCGAGCTAATTAAAATTTATTTTTTAATTTTAAAATTTGAGTAGATTAAAAATTATATTTTTTTACATATTAAAATTTGAGTCGATTAAATTTTAATTAATTCGTATTGAATTTTAATCGGTCCAAATTTTGATACATAAAAAAATATAAATTTTAATACATAAAAAATAAAATTTATCGAACTAAATAGAATTTTAATAAGTAAAAAAATATAAATTTAATCGACGCTAACATCTCAGGTAGAGCTCAAATATGCTAAAATTTTAATTAACTCGAATCGAATTTTAATTGATGCTAACAGCTCTAGTAGAACTCAAATATGCTCAAATTTTAAAACATAAAAAATAAATTTTAATAGACTCAATTTTTAATATGTAAAAAAAAAAATTAATTAGTTCGATTGAAATTTTAATATGTAAAAAAATATATTTTAATCAACTTTAATTTTGATGTGTAGAAAAATAAATTTTAATCGAATTTTATGTAAAATAATTGTTTGGGTCTTATGCAGGGGTAATTTTAGTATTTTAAGTGATTTTTTTTTTTTATATTTGAAATGGTGGTTTAGCAGTAGAGGGTTTCAGTGATGTTTAAATATAAATTAGAATGAGTGTTATTGATATTTTGGATAATAGAGGGTCTTCACTCAGAGAATTTGGATGGTTGAGAAATAATGAAATCATTTCAACTCGGAACTTGATTAACTGCATTGTTGTTAACCTCTCTTCAATCTGTTCTCCTTTGGTAAGTTTTTTCATTATGTAACAAACAAATACACCGCATGCAACCCTGCATTAATTCTAATTGTTAATATGTTTCGATATGTTTTAAAAACAAAAATTCCATTTGGAGAATGAGTACTTACAAATTTGTCATTTGTTGTGGACATGTGTTGACATGATATGATTTATAACTGCTTATCATATGTGTCTATAAAGATTACTTTTGAAGTATTGAACTCCGTAATCTTGTTTTATGTAATTCTATTAAAACCTTTTAGATTATGGATTGACAACAAAAAAAATATACTCTTCTAGCAATACTATTTTGACATAATCCAACCAAAAGACACATAATTTAAGGTTAAAAAAAATGTTGTGAGATGATGGCATGTATATTTGTCTAAGTGAAATGGTGTACCTAAATCAACTCACTCACATTTGGGTATTTTAGCAAAGATGCATTCAACCTTTACACATAAAATTCACATTTGTGAATTGATATTTGATAAATTGAGTGGGGGTAGAAGAATACAGTTGTAATTAGCGGGCTGATATCAACACTAGCAGTTATATACAGGAGGACTCTCTGTCACTGACGACTTATTATTATTTGGAACCTTCTGACAACCCAGTCGTGTCTGCGTTTCATCAGCTCTGACTTTGTCTAACAAAAGTTTGTGATGCAACTATCCTACACCATCCATAAGCACCTTATGACAATATGGGCATTTTAGTAATACCACTATAAACGAGTCTCCCGTCCGCGAAAATACGTACACATCAAATGCATCGTCTTTAAGCGGGTGCAATGGGGAAGACACTGAGCAAAGAGCAGACGATAACAAAATCCAATTTTATTTTTTAGTTTCTTACTGTAACCCTTTTTTGTAATTGTTAATATATTTCGATGTGTTTTAAAAACAAAAATTGCATTTGGAGAATGAGTACTTACAAGTTTGTCATTTGTTGTGGACATGTTTGACATGATATGATTTATAAGTGCTTATCGTATGTGTCTATAAAGATTACCTTCGAAGTATTGAACTCCGTAATCTTGTTTTATGTAATTCTATTAAAACCTTTTAGATTATGGAT